CTCTATTGAATTTGAAGATAATCAGTCAAAATTTAGATATAGCTTCCATATATACCTTCGAGCGATTTGCCTTGTATTGCGCACCAAACGCGTAATATTATCCCAAATCGGATGGAATTTGGCAAATACGACCAAATTGAGTCTAGAAACAAGTATGTCAAATTTGGCGAAGATCGGTTCAGATATAGCTATAGCTCCCATATATATTGTTCATCCGATTTGTTATTTTTGCTCAACGCTGTCGTATTAGGCATTCTGTAACAATTTTATTTGAGAAAATATATCAACTACAGCCCAAAAATGCCTTTGCCAAATTTTATAAAGATCGGTTCAGATTTGAACATAGCTCCCATATATGTCTTCATCCGATTTGCATTTTATTCTGCATCAAATGTGTAATATTAGCCCATTGATCGAAATCGGTTTAGATATAGCTATAGCTCCCATATATTTGGTTCTTCCGATTTGTTCTCCACAGCCGTAATATGCACTCCGCAACCAAGATATTCAGGAAAATATATTAAATACAGCATAGAAATACTTTTACCAAATTTTTATTGAGATCGGTTCAGATTTGGACATAGCTCCCACGCATATGTTTATCCGATTTTAATTTAATTGTGCGCCAAAATGGGTAATACAAGCCCGAATTGAAAAGGCACTAATGCCTCGACAAATTTAGTAGAAATCGATTCAGAGGAGGATATATTTCTCTCATATATTAGTCCATTTGGACATCACTGACAATTTTCTGTCATAGGCTGTAGTATCCATTTCGAACTTCAAATACCAAATTTGAAACAATTTAATAATATCACTAAGATCATCAAAATACCCAATAACGGGAGGTACTGTTATATGAGGGCTGTACGAAGACTTGGACCTGCAAAGATAATTTTCTGTCATAGGCTGTAATATCCATTACGAACTTCAAAAACAAAATTTGAAACAATTCCGGTGAAAAATGTCGCTAAAATCATCAACATACCGAATATCGGGATGTACCGTTATATCAAGGCTATACTAAGACGTGGACCTGCACAGACAATTTTCTGTCATAGGCTGTAATATTCATTACAAATTTCAAATACCAAATTTGAAATTATTCCGGTGAATAATGTTGCTAAAATCACAAAAATACCGAAAATAGGGAGGTACCATTATATGGGGGCTATACCAAAACGTGAAGCTACATGACCCATTTTCAATACCAGAAGCCTTGCAGACATAATATACATTTGAGTACAATTTTATTAACGTACTTTATTTCCTTCGGAAGCTAGAGTGATTTCCACAGACGAAGGGACATCGCTAAATCGACATGGAATTTTATGCTGATCAAGAATATAAATACTTTGTGGGGTCTAAAATGTATATTTCGAGGTGTTACAAACGGAATGACAAACTTAATATACTAAAATTAGAAGTTCTGAAAATAGACAATTTTTCATATTTGAAATGAGAAAATCGGAGATGTGTTGAAAAGCAAATAGAGAATATAAATTAGATGCGCAATTTTACTGGAAACTATTGTTGTTGTTTTTCTCTTTTATTATTATTGTTGGAAAGTATGTACAACGGATGTGAATATATATATAAATATATGAATATAAAAATTATACTTAAACATAACTTACATAATTTCTATGTATAAGGATGATATTTAACATATTATTAATAATAATATTACTATTATTGCAGGAAGAAGAGATAGCATAGAATTACTGTACATAATTTTTTAATGTTTTTCATTTTTACAATAAGGTTAATTAAGAAATTAATTGTGAAGAAAACTAAAAAGAATGCACGGGGGAATATATGGAAGCTTGTGTTAAAATTATGATCAAAGAAATTATGAAATAAAAATATTTTTTTAAAAAATTAAATAAAAAAGAATTAAAATAAAATATAGTATATAAAATAATACAAAATAAAAACTGTTTGCAAAATATAAATTGTAGAAGAAGAAGCAAAATTAATTACCACAATAATGTACATAGGAAGTACTATAATTCTAACCCGGTTGGATAAGTTACTAATCTTAAATTTTGTATGATTTATTGGCGTCAAGATGGACTATTTCATGGCCACTGGTTAAAAATTATATCATTGTCTTTAAGTCGACGTTATAAATAAAACGTCTACATGGGCAACGTTTTACTAAATTCTTTACATTATTTGGATCCATTAATGTTTAGTGGGAAACAAGATAGCATACTGTAGTGAAGTGAAACTGGGTCTTCTATAATTGTCCACCATTTCTTGGGGGGATTAAAAAAAACCAATGGCAGAGTTAAGTCCATAGCTTATTTTATTCCAGTTAACTTTTAAAGATTATAAGGCCTCAATTCAAACCCCGGTAAGGCAGGTGATAGAAATCATCAAAAACTAATTTGAAGGATATCCTTATAATATAATATTCCCTTATGAGAAAACTGCCCTCTTGTATCTGCAGAGCAATACATTTACAAGTATTATGGGTAATAAACGAAACAGCCTTACAGAAACCTCAGATGCTCCAACTGGGCAAAATTCAAATCCCCAAACATATGAAAATAAGTTATTGTCTTACGGAACATAAATTCCTAGCAAAAACACTCATTACAAATCGGATTACTACCGATTAACAAGGGCATGCCACTTGAAATAGGTACCTATTTATTTGCCCAACTAAGCTACTTATTTTTGGCAAAGGAATAGCTACTTAATTTGAATGACATGCCCTTGTAGAAATAATAATTGCCGAGGGCTTTTCACTCAATGAAAATGGGAAATGGTTTTTCAAGAGCGGTTGGTTTTTTCACTTCAGTTTGCGGATACAATATGTCCTCGTTATGTGCCCTAATGTTTTAAAATCAAATAATATTACATATGGGAACTTTAACTATATCTGAACCGATTTCGATCAAATTTTGCATACTTATTTTCAGGCCTAGTTTGCTCGTATGTGCAAATAATAGGCCTGAAAATAACCTGACCACCTTCTGTATAGGGTATAAAAAGGCAAAACTGTCAATCTACCAGTCAAAAGAAGTAATCAAGACCTGTTTAATCCTTGAAATCAGCCGAGATTGATCGTCTAAACCCGTTACAACGGTGAAAGGCGACAAAGAAGGATAATGGGAAGAACTCTAAAGGGATCGTGAAAGTCGATCTTGTCGGTAATGCTTCGCAAAGTCCCAAAACCCGAAGCAGGATCATCTTCAATCTGTAGGCTTCATAATTTCCGAAGTTAATGGCCCTTTGGGAAGTTAGCAAAACCGTCGGCGATTCTGTCTCAGAGATTCCATGCGGAGTGGCGGCTTTAACGTATCCTATAATGGAGTCAAAGGAGATTGAGAGGTTAAGAAGGAGAATGCTGGTCTTGACACTGGAAATTGGCATGTCCTAAATTTCTTTACTATGAACAGCGATATACAGTGTACTTAAAGTAGCCACATACAAGGCCGAAGAGGCCTCGAGGGTTCTGCTAAGCCTTGATCTGCGAAGGATTCTGTTTCACTTCCCATAAATGAAGCTGTAAAGGAGTCTGCCAGCTAAACCTCAATGCATCAAATATCGATACCGCCTTGGTCCAGGATCCCTATTTGTTCAAAAATAGGCACCAGTAATGGAGATATCACCACAGTAAGGTTGGATAGAGGTAGTAGTACGATGTGACGCAAACGCCCATCACTTTTACTGGGAAAGCAGTTATACTAATGTTAGAGGATGAACACAATGGTCCAAAGGTCTCCATGTGAACCAGTTGTCGACTTCGTTGTAACAGTGCATCTTTAAACCAAACCAAATACTGTTTGTTCTCTGAAGATATGAAAGAAATATAAACTACCGAGCCCAACCTCTGTTGATGATATTCAATTTCAGAAGGAAGCTATAAGCTGTTCTTATGAGTTATTATTTTTCCCATCTTTCCGGGGTGGAACCGAAAGTCAATAGATGCTATGGAGTTGTCAAAAAAAGTAATAGGGAGATTTAGACACAGTTCTGGAAATTTCTAAGGCCCTATATTTCATGAAAAGTATTATACATAGATATATCCGCCCTCAATATGAATATTTCGAGGAGCTCATGAATATTTCGAGGAGTTACAAACGGAATGACAAAGCTAATATACCCTTTATAGAATATTTGAGGGTATAAAAGAATAAATTTGCTTAACTTCCTTGCCCTATTTTGGTCACCGTTCGATTTAGACTTTCAAAACGCCCATACACGTGTCACATATTTTTAGCAGTGCTTTCGAAATCTTTTCGGGGTTTTCCTGTAATTTTTAGAAGAAATTGATTACTTTTGCTATTAGGCCAACGCCTCTCTCAAATGATCCATAAACCCCAGGCAAATATATAAATAATTTGGATAGATTCTGTTGATTCTGAAGTTTTAACAAAACAATTAAACGGCAAACAATAAAAAAAAAAAAAAAAAAAACGTGGACTAAATACCAAATAAATACATGTCTCCTACTTCTTTCCTCTTCTAGACTATAATAACCTTTAATTTGAGTACCATAACCTCAGGGTTTTTTCTTCTATGAATTGAGATAACTAATTTTTGGGGCATTTCTAGAACTATGTTTTAAACTGAAAAAAGAAATAATTAAAAGACAACCCCTGTATAGTCGGAACGACAAGGTACCAAAAACATGATTAATTGTTTGTGAACTAACTCTAGTGTTTTGGCCGCAGGTTAATTGATTTCTTAATGGAATGAAAATAAAACAAACAAATTTGGACTTTGTTCAAAAATGCAACAGAAAAAAGAAGAAACAAAGGGTTAAAGAAAACTTAATGAAAAAAGAGACACAATAAAAAGAAAAAAACATAAACGTTTGCTTCAAAGAAGAAGAAATTAAGGATAACACAACAAAAAAATTAAAAAATAAAAAAAATAGAAAACACATTTAGACCACACAAGCTGAGAAAACTCCCATTACACGTCAGCCAAGATCTTGTTGTTGATCTGTGCGATAAATGGCAGCACGATTATTTGTACTGTACCTGTTTCCAGATGGTTGTGATGATTGATGTTCTTGTTGCTGCTGCTGCTGCTGCTGTTCATCATTAGCATTAATACTATTTGGTGCTGCTGCTGTTGTTGTTATGGGTGTGGAGGATGCTGATGTCATTGGTTGTAAACGTATAGGAGCTGTTGCAGTTTGTATTTTAAAAAACTTATCCGAATCTTCTTCGTTTAATTGATTCGATTGTTGCAATTCGAATTGCTGCTGTTGGTCAGCTAAGATCTTAGCTGTTAAAATTGACACATACGCCTTGTAGCGACGTAACTGCAGGGCAATGAAATGGGAGAAAGATAAGGGAAATGTTTAATATTTTATATTTTTGTAATTCCTTTTTTGTAATCTCCTCACCTCATATTGTAAAAATGCTTCTTTTTCCTTGTAGTTTTGTAAAGCTAAGCCTTTTGTTGGTATGGGACCCTTTTTATGTTCCATCAATGTGTTTTCAATTTTTGCTAATTGCTGTTCATGTGACTCCAATTGTTCTTTCTGTAGAGTGAAAAAAAAAGCAAAGAAAAAACATTAGAAAAATATTAAAAAATGTTAATGATTTTAAAAAATATGAGCTCCTTCTGGTTAGCTGCAAAGGCCATCTTCAGGTACAGATTTTAAGGTAGTCTATAACAAGTAAAATAGTATCAGTCGGTTTTTGCGACAGAGGTATACTCCCCGACTTGAGTTATGATTATTTAAAACTGTTGGCTCTTTATGGGAGAGGGAGGTTCCGAAGCAGTTGGACAATATTGACCAATTCGTATCTGACCTGAGACTTATATAAACATTACAACGTGACAGATTTGGACTATATGGACTATTTCCTGTACTTTATATGAGATATGTGCAAATTTTTGGAAAATATGGAAATATGCGTGAGTTATCAGATGTAGCGGACCGAAGTATTCTATTTTCATACTTCATCTAATACAGATAAAAATATTGGTATCTGCAAAATTTGAAGGAAATCGAACATTTATATCCAATTTTATGCGAAGTCATAAATTCCGATAAATTCCATATTCGTCTCAAATTTCTGGATAAGAGAAATATTTAGAGAGAGAGAGGGAGATATGAACTACCATCTTTACAACAGATCTTGTGTTCATGAAAAAATTGAGATGTGCCAAGTCTGAATGGAATCGGATGTTAATTTCGTGTTTTAAGAGCTTGATGAATATTCAAAATTTTGACCCTTTGTGGTGGAGGTACCAGAGGGAGTGCACTGATGGTCCGATATCTAACATCTTTATAATAAATTTTGTGTAGATGAAAATATTGAGATGTGACAAGTCTGAATCGAATCGGATGTAAATTTCGTGTTTTATGAGCTTCATGAATATTCAAAATTCTGACCCTTTGTGGGAGAGGTACCAGAAGGAGTGGACCGATCTCTACCATCTTCACACCAGACCTTGGGTTAATAAAAATATTGTGATGTGTGTAATTTGAAGAGAACCGGATGCTTATTGCGGATTTTATTATCGTTTTGGTTATTCAAAACTTTGACCCTTTGTGAGGGAGGTACCAGAAGGAATGGTCGGATTTCTACCATCTTTTTAACAGATCTTGTTTCGATGGAAATATTGAGATGTAGCAAGTCTGAAATAAATCGGATGTTAATTTCGTATTTTATGAGCATCGTGAATATTCAAAATTTTGACCCTTTGTGGGGGAGGTACGAGAGGGAGTGGATCGATATATTCCATGTTCACACCAGAGCTTGGGCTAATAAAAATATTGTGATGTGTGAAATACAAAGAGACCCGGATGCTTATTTCGGATTTTATGATCGTTTTGGTTATTCAAAATTTTGACCCTTTGTGGGGGAGGTACCAGAAGGAGTAGACCGATATATTCCATCTTCACACCAGACCTTGGGTTAATAAAAATATTGTGATGTGTGTAATTTGAAGACAATCGGACACTTACATCATATTTTATAAGAGTTATCATTATTCAAAATTTTGACCCTTTGGTATTTGGGAAAGTATTGGATGAAGTTATCTTATATTCTCCATTTTCGCACCTGTTGTAGCACTGATGGAAAAATTAGGATTTACAAAGTTGGAGCAAAATCGGATTATCCTTTCTCTTTCTGTGCAGTAAATTATTTTCTTTGAAAATTTTGACGTTTTGTGCGGGAGGTACCAGAAGGAGTGAACCGATATTGCCCATCTCCGAACTTGATCAAAATTTGATATTAATATTTCGATGTACCAAGTTTTGATGAAATCGATGTAATGTAGCCATATGGCTGAGGGTAAAAAATGCTTTTTTGGACGTCTTTAAAGACGATCTTCTTGGACGTCTATAAAGACGACCTTTTTGGACGTCTATAGAGACAACCTTTTTGGTCGTCGTAGGGTAGTCTATAAAGACGACCTTATGGCCTCTTTAAATATGACCTTTTTGGACGCCTATAAAGACGACCTCATGGCCGTCTATAAAGACGAAAAGTTATGATTTATCTATAAATTTATCCCTATGGATGAGCTTTTTGGAAATCTATAAAGACGACCCTATGGCAGTCTTTTAAGATCCCCACATGGCCGTTTATAAAAACGATAATACAAAATGGAAATGGATTAAAACCATCTAAAAAGCGACCTTTTGGGCATCTTCAAAATCCACCTTTTGACTATGTTTAAAGTCTCCAGTATTTTTCATTCCTTTACTTTACTGAAAAAAAGTGACAAAGTCTACCTACCAGTAACAATTTAGTATGCGAACTAGGTAGCAGTGGTCTTTGGAAACGTTTTTGACTACCCACGCCTCCTTCTAAAGGAGGCGCTGAATAGGCGGCACATACAAAATTTATAGTCTCCACCCAGGATTGCAATTCCTTTGAATCACTCGTTTGGAATAGATATTCTGCTTGATCGGCAGTTTGTAGACGAAAGACATGTTGTTTTTTCGTGTAATCCGTTGCTTTGGTTGCCAGCGCGTGATGGATGCGTATGGCATTATGTAGGTTATCAGACATCTGCAATGAAAACAAATTATATAAATTAATTCTATAAAAAAGAAGTAGAAAAAAGGAAATCATACTTGACTCTTGCGAAAACCATGCTCATCCTTGTGCAAAAATAATACTAAATCTCTGAGGGTACAATAGAACATTTTCCATGATCTCTTGCCAAAAGGAGCTGGAAATAAAAAAATCATTATCGATCATTAAACAAATCTCAATTGATATCTTTTCCCTGACTTACTTTTCTTGAAATTTGCATCGTAACAGCTCTTCCGCATAACATAGCCCTTTTTGTATTCCACAGCATTTGTGGTTTCGGGTAAATCCAAAAATGGATTTTGTCCTAAATGCGCAGTAGATTGTACACTATTTTTGTTGTCAGACTGTTGTTTGGCCAAATCATTGGCATCATCATCCCTGCAAAAAAAGTAATACCAAATTAAATTTTGTGTAAGAAGAAAGTCTCCGATATCCTTACAATGCCCACTCCAATGGCTGGGTTTTAATGGCCTGATATAAACACTTGAGTATATCTTTGGGAAAATTGTCACCATCATTGAGTTCAGCTAGATTTTCAATGAATTCACTGCATGTCATCTTTCGTCCAATATTTTGGCCATGCAAATCGGTATTGAGTAGCATGATAGCACAGGTTAAGGTGTGAACGGCATCTGGAAAGGGAAATAAGTAAATTAATAATAATAATAATAAAAATAATTGGAAATATATTTTAACCAAATTAGTAAACAAATATTTATGTAAAAATATTCTCTTGCAAAAAAAAAAAATTAAAAGTCCATTTTATAACCATACTTGAACTTCGGACGTCTATAAATACAACTTTAAGATAGTCTATAATAAAGACGGCTTTATGGACGTCAAGAAAGGCGACCTTATGGGCACCAACAAGACGACCTTGTGGCCGACTATAAAGCGAACTGATGGACGTCTATAAATACGACCTAAGGTAGTCCAATTTTTATAACCTACACCACATAGTGGTAAGGGTATTATGTCTTTGTGCATTTGTTTGTAACATGGAGAAGGAAACGAGATAGACCCATAGTTACATTTGAGAACCTTCATAGAATCACTTTCTGAGTCGATTTATGCATGTCAGTCCGTCTGTCCATGTATTCTTGTGAACAAAATGCAGGTCGCACTTATTATCCGATTGAGATGAAATTTTCCAAACAATATTTTTTTGGCCCAAGGACGAACCCTATTGAAATTGGTGAGAATCGGATCAAATTTAGATATAGCTCCCATATATATCTTCATCCGATTTCGGGTTAAATGTGCACCAAATGTCCACTGTCAGTCCAAATTACCTGAATTTTGGCACACCCAACCGAGTTCGGCCTAGAAGCAAGTATATCAAATTTGGAGAAAATCGGTTCAGATATAGCTATAGCTCCCATATATATCTTTCATCCGATTTGATCTTTAAGTCCCTCACATTCCTACTATTCACTCCACAACCGTGATATTTGGTACCAGGTATTAGATGGAGCACAGAAATAGCTGTTTTAAATTTTATCGAAATCGGTTCAGATTTGGATATAGCTCCCATATATATCTTCATCCGATTTCGGGTTAATTGACCACCAAATGGCCAATATTAGCCCAAATGGCCCGAATTTTGGCACATGTGACCGAGATTAGCCTTAAAGCAAATACAACAAATTTGGTTCAGAAACAGCTATAGCTCCCATATATATGTTTTATCCGATTTGGTGTTTAAGCCTCTCATATTCGTAATATGCACTCCACAAGAATGATAATTGGTACCAGATATAAGATACAGCCCAGAAATAGCTGTTTATAATTTTATCGAAATCGGTTCAGATTTGGATATAGCTCCCATATATATCTTCATCCGATTTCGGATTAATTGTGCACCAAATGGCCGATATAAGTCCAAATGGACTGAATTTTAGTACATCGGACCAAATTCAGCCTAGAAGCAAGTATATCAAATTTAGTGAAAATCGGTTTAGATATAGATATAGCAGCCATATATAGGTTTCATCCGATTTAGTGTTTTAGTCCCTTACATTCGTAATATTCACTCCACAACCGTGATATTTGGTACCAGGTATTAGATGGAGCACAGGAATAGCTGTTTTAAATTTTATCGAAATCGGTTCAGATTTGGATATAGCTCCCATATACTATATCTTCATCCGATTTCGGGTGATTGACCACCAAATGGCCGTAATTGCATCAATTTTGGCAAATCCGACCGAACCCAGCTTAGAAGCAAGTGCACCAATTTTAGTAAAAATCGGTTCAGATATAGCTATAGCTCCCATATATATCTTTCATCCGATTTGGTCTTTAAGTCCCTCACATTCGTAATATGCACTCCACAGGAATGATATTTGGTACCAGATATCAGATAAAGCCCAAAATTAGTTGATTTTAATGTTATTAAAATCTGTTCCGATTTGGATATGCCTCCCATATATATCTTCATCCGATTTCGTGTTAATTGTGCATCAAATGGTCAATATCAGCCCAAATCACCTGAATTTTCGTACATAAGACCGAATTCAGTCTAGAAGCAAATACGTCAAATTTGGAGAAACCCGGTTCAGAGATAGCTATAGTTCGTAAAATGCACGATAGAATTAGATAGATTGTGATTTTGTACCAAATATCTCATAGAGCTCTGAAATGCCCTGTATAAACCTTTTTACGAGAGCTCTACTAAATATGCATAGTGGTGTAGGGTATCATATAGTCGGCCCCGCCCAACTTTTGAGCTTTCCTTACTGGTTTTTTGTTGTATATTTTCTCCATTGATATTAACCCAATATAATGAAGTATTGGGGAGTATTATGAAACAAATCGAAAATATTTTGAAATAATTCCAAAGATATTTTCATTTTTAAATGCCACTCTAGTAACAGCTATTTTTATACCCTCAGCCATATGGCTAGAGAAGGAATATATAATTTGATACGGCCAAAACTTGACTCATAGAAATAACGGTTTTAGGGCCTAGGTCTCTTTGGAGTCGATCTAGCGATGTCCACCTGTCTGGCTGGCTAGTGTGCACGATGAATCTCGAAGGAGGTATCCGATTTGATCCAAACTTGGTACATCGTAATATTATTATCAAACTTAAATCGAGTTCGGAGATGGGCAATATCGGTGCACTCCTTCTGGTACCTCCCGCACAAAACGTCAAAATTTTCAAAGAAAATAATTTACTGCACAGAAAGAGAAAGCATAGTCCAATTTTACTCCAACTTTGCATATCCTAATATTTGCATCAGTGCTAGGTCAGGTGCGAAAGTGAACAATATCGGTTCACTCCATCCAGTACCTCCCCCAACAAAGGGTCAAAATTTTGAATAATTATAACTCCTATAATATATGATGTGTCACATTGTCTGCAAATTACACACATCACAATATTTTTATTAGCCCAAGGTCTGTTGTGAAGATGGAATATATCGATCCACTCCTTCTGGTACCTCCCCCAGAAAACTTTGAATATCCTTTGAATATCGTTAAAATTTTGTATGACCAAAACGATTATAAAATCCGAAATAAGCATTCGGTTCTCTTCAAATTACACACATCACAATATGTTTGTTAACCCAAGGTCTGGTGTGAAGACGGGATATATCTGTCCACTGCTTCTGGTACCTCCCCCACAAAGGTTCACAATTTTGAATAACCATGAAGCTAATAAAAAGCGAAATTAACATCCGATTCCATTCCAGACTTGGTACATATTAATATTTCCATTAACACAAGATCTATTAAAGATAGTAGAAATCGGACCACTTCTTTTGCTACCTTCAAGATTTTGAAAAACCAAACGCTCAAAGAAAGCGAAATAAGCATCCAACTCTCCTCAAATTTCACACATACAAACATTTTTGCTAACACAAGATCTGTTGTGAAGATGATATATATCTGCGAACGCCTTCTAATACCTCACCCACAAAGGGTCACAAATTTCAATACTTTTATCTGTCATAACTTGCGAAAAAGGTCGGCTGTTCTTTACATCTTCCTATATTTAAATATTTATCTTAACCAGAAATCTGATATGAATATGAATATCTCATATAAAGTACAGGAAGTAGTCGATATAGTCCAAATCTGGCACGTTGTAATATTTTTATCAGTCTTAGGTCAGATACGAATTGGTCAATATTGGCAAACTGCTGTGTTTATACATCTGTCGGCAAAACCGACTGCTACTATTATTTTTTGGGTGAACGATATTGAAATTCTTTCTAGAACATTTTCTCATTTGTATCACCTTCCGAAAATGAAAAACTCAGTGTCAATTGACTCCAAATTAACAAAGCGAAAAAATAGGCAAAAACTAACTAGATAATTTTATATATAATTTGTTTTGACCTTTTTCAGATATCTGTAATACAACTAGAGATTTCTCTTGTTCGGCGACCCATATTGAAATTTTGTCTAGAATATTTCTTCCATTGACACCATTTTACTAAATCCAAGAATAAGGATAGATATTGGCATGATTTGAAAATAGTACAAAATTAAGTAATATTTGTACATAAACTCAATGTACTTATTACAATTTATTTAATATCAACAATGCAGCGATTAATATTATTCAATGGTCTACTCAGAAGTTTGATGAAGAACTTTTACCCAAAAAAATGAAATATGGAGAAGATTTTGGCACAAATTGAAAATATATGAAAAATTACATTATTAACAAAGAGAAAAATTAACCAAATTTCACTGTGTTATTTTAATATCCAATATGTTGTGACATTTTACAGATATTAGTAACATATATAGAGACTTCTTCTGCTCGGCAACCCATATTGAAATTTTCTCTAGAACATTTCTTCCATTGACACCATTTCACTAAATCCAAGTGTAAGGCAAGATTTTGGAATGATTTTGAAATAGTACTAAATTAACCATTTTCTTTTTGTTGAGAAATGCATTTAGTTTTGTGACTATTATTTATTTATATTAATTGCTCCGATTTATATTCTTCAGTGATCTTTTCTGAAATTTGATGTAGAATCTTTCCTACATTAACATTAACCAAATATTATGAAGTATTGGAAAAATGTTGGTGCAATTTAAATCTAAATTACCCAAAAAATATTTCGTTTTTTTATGGACATTCTTTTAACCATTAAATTTGCGATATAAGTTGCATCTACAGACTAGCGACTTCTTTTGCTCGGCGACTCATACTGAAATGTTGTCTAGATTGTTTCTTCTATTGACACCATTTCACCAAAACCAAGTACTAGGGACGATTATAGAAAAATTTGATATTTGTACGAAATGGACTAAAACTTTTACATTACATAACTATGTTATTTAAATATCCAATTTGTTGTGACATTTTCCAGATATCTGTAACATATATGGAGACTTCTTCTGCTCGGCGACCCCTATTGAAATTTTGTCCAGAACATTTTTTCCATTGACACCATTTCACTAAACCCAAGTGTAAGGCGAGATTTTGGAATGATTTGGAAATAGTATGAAATTAAATAATTTCGGCCAGCAATTTCGGCTTGTAGGACCCTATACCTATCCTCTCTCTCTCTTAGCAAAATTTGAAATGTAACCCACATGTGCATCCTTTTATCAGTGTATTTTCTATTTCCAAATTTAGAATTGAGAAGTAGTTGGGAAAAGGCAATAATTGGCCAAGGTGCTTCAGTTTTAAAACAATTTTTTGTTTCTTGTTATGACCTTCTTTTCTTTTCCACTCTATTCTTCTTTTTTACTTCTACAAATCTCTTCCCCCACAAAATCTCACCCCCAACTTACCTTGTGAATTGAACGTTCCCGGATTGCAATCCAGATAACGTTTGGAAAAGTGAACCAAAACCCGTTCACGTTCTTGGGTTTCGCCCGACAAGGCAAACTGTTGTAGAAATTCGCGCAACGATTGATCCAAAGTCTTTTTATCAAAATTAAAATATTTCAGATATTCATCGGCCACAGCCCGATTAAAGTCATTGCTAGGATGGAAAAGAGAATAAATAGAACAGGTTATTTCATTTTCAAAAAAAATAAAAATTCAACACACACACTTACTTTTTACTTAAATGACGTGATACATCACTCTTCTTGAAACCATCCAGAGTGTACAGTCTTTTTGCCAAACGTATGGCCGATGGCATATCAACAGCCTTGGGTGAGTAATGATAGGAGTGTAATGATTCAACATCACTGCCATCGTCCGAGACGGGTGGTGACGAGTCACGACCATCACCGCCCCCACCACCACAGTTATTATTAATGCCAGCCGAGGAGGAGGAGGAGGAGCCCTGGTGCTGAGGTTCTTCGGTTAGGGTGGCAAGTTCATCTTCGTGATCCGATGATGTGGCGGCGCCAGCATGCTGAGATCTACTCGAGGGCGAGCCATTGTTGTTGTTATTGACATTGTTGCCATTGTCGGCGCCACGCACCTTAATGACAACCTTGTGTTCTGAGGATTTTTGCTGTTGCCGGTGTTGTTGTTGTTGTTGTTGATGGTGCCCGTGTTGTTGTTGTTGACGCTGCACAGCAGCATCGGAAACCAAAATTGTGGAATCTGAATCACTGGGATCACTAAGTATCATACCGCCTAAAAGATCGCGAGAACTGAGTAAATTATCATCATCCTGATAGTCAGGGCTAGAAATGTTGGATATGGCCTCGGAGACACTAAGGTCTCCGCCGCCACCACCACCACCACCACCACCACCTAAAGTATTGTTAGTATTGTTACTACTACCGCCACCACCACCACCACCGCCCCCATTGGGGCAGTACAATAGACCCATTGTTGTTGTATTAGTTGTTGAATTCATACTACTACCGTTAGTTACAACAACATGTTGTTGATGTTGCATATGACCATTGTTATTACCGCTTAGACCAAAGGCACCCTTTGAACCGCCCGACGACGACATCACCGAACTGGACACCGATGTGGGTGAGGCTGGACTACCCACCGAATGCTGTGGCGATGAACTCATCGAACTGGAGTGTGAATGTGAGTGATGGGAATGAGAATGATTGTTGCTATTGTAATTTGTAGAAGAATACTGTTGCTGTTGTTGTTGTTGCTGCTGCTGCTGCAAAGCTGCTATTTGATGTGGCTGTAGGGGAGCATTATAGGTCCATACGATACGATCACGATCCGAATTCTAAAAGAAATTGAGGGGATAGATAAGAAGAAAACAAAACATTTTATTAGATATTTAAGTTTTTTTGAATAGGATTTAGTGGGGGTACAGACTAGCTATTCAAAAAAAATTAAAAATAAATTGAAAACTAATATCTAAACTTTCGGAAAGCACCAAAAAAAGGAGGATAAAAAGTTCGTCGATTTTTTATACCCTCCACCATAGTATGGAGGGTATATTAAGTTTGTCATACCATTTGCAACACCTCGAAATATATATTTTAGATCCCACGAAGTACATATATTCTTGATCAGCATAAAATTCTATGTCCGCCCGTCTGTGGAAATCACTCTAGCTTCCGAACGAAATCTAGTATGTTGATAAAATTTTACGCAAATGTATGTTATGTCTGCAGGACTTTTGGTATTGAAAATGGGTCATGTAGGCCCACGTTTTGGTATAGCCCCCATATAACGGTACCTCCCGATATTCGGTATTTTGGTGATTTAAGCGACATTATTCACCGGAGATGTTTCAAATCTGGTATTTGAAGTTCGTAATGGATACTACAGCCTATGACAGAAAATTGTCCGTACAGGTCCACGTCTTCGTATAGCCTCCATATATTGGTACCTCCCTATTTTCGGTATTTTTGTGATTTAAGCGACTCTATTCATCGCAAATGTTTCAAATTTGGTATTTGAAGTTCGTAATGGATATTACAGCCTACGACAGAAAATTGTCCGTACAGATCCACTTCTTCGTATAGCCCCCATATAACGGCATCTCCCGATATTCGGTACTTTGATGATTTTAGCGACATTATTCACCGCAAATGTTTCAAATTTGGTATTTGAAGTTCGTAATGGATACTACAGCCTAAGACAAAAAATTGTCCGTACAGGTCCACGTCTTCGTATAGCCTCCATATAATGGTATCACCCTATTTTCGGTATTTTAGTGATTTAAGCGAAATTATTCACCAGAAATGTTTCAAATTTGGTATTTGAAGTTCGTAATAGATACTACAGCATAACACAGAAAATTGTCTGTGCAGGTCCATGTCTTCGTATAGCCCTCATATAACTATACCTCCGATATTCGGTATTTTGAGGATTTTAGCGAAATTATTCACCGAAGTTATTTCAAATTTCATATTTAGAGTTCGTAACGGGTACTACAGCCTAAGACAAAAAATTGCGTATCCAGGTCCACGTCTTCGTATAGCCTCCATATAACAGTATCTCCCAATATTCGGAATTTTGCCGATTTTAGATACAATATTCAACGAAATTGTTTGAGATGTCGTATATGAAGTTCCTTATAGGTACTACAGCCTGTGACAGAAAATTGTCTATGGAGGTCCAGGTCTTCGTATATCCTCCATATAACGGTACCTCCCTATATTCGGTATTTGGATGATTTTAGCTTTTATTATTCACCGAATTTTTTTCAAGTTTCGTATTTGAAAATTTTAATGGCTTATGAGAAAAATTGCCTATGCAGGTCCACGTCTCCGCATAGACCCCAATAACGGCTATATTCGTTATATAATCAAAAGTGATAAGTGGTTGGAATTAGGTGATAATCGACTAGGGTTTATCAGCTCTGGATTTGAACTCTAATTGAATTCGAGAAATAACCAGGTTTCATCGATTCTGAGGTAATATCTAAGTATAGGCCTGCCTGCTTTGAATTTACATCTAGGTGCAGTAGTCATTATTTTTAGGTAATATCCATGTCTGATCGAATTTGGACTCATCTAGCCTGTATTTTCAATTAATCGAACCCATATCCATTTACTATGTGTCTTAAATCTGGATATAGTATTGAATCTATGTAGGATTTCACGGCTCCAGGTGGTGCCTAAAAGTTCGTATCCGATAACATTTGCAAGTCTTGACTTCACATTAAGGCAAAATAGTCCGTTTTTTTTTTTTTTTTTTTTTTTTTTTGCTAATATCCGTTTTTGATCGCCTTTGGAACTTTGCAAGTCCTAGTAAACAAAACAAACAGATGGTCGTGAGTCCTGCGAGTCTGTCTGCTTTGGGATAAACACCAATGACGTTTACCTCCTGGTAGTCAAATTTGTAAATCTTTATATTTCATTACCTCCTTTTTCTGATGCTTTCGTTTCTTGGCTAATTATAAAATAATATTAGAAAAATGTTTTCAAAATTTACATCTTAAAAAAAAGAAATTTTGAAGCTAATAATTTATACACGCATAAATGTATTTTTTTTATTTTTGTTTTTCACCTGCAACTTTTTTTTGGAGAATATTGATTTTTTTTTTTGAAAAAATAAATTTTTTATATGTAAATGTTGTGTAGTGTTGTTGTGCATTATATAGGAGTGTCAGTGTTTGGGATTATAGAAAAAAATAATATCAAGGAAAAGAAGTTTTTAATATATGTAGAAATAGAGATATAAATCGTGCAGAATAACACACATATACATGCTGGTTTGTATAGCACACACACATGCATGCATGCCATTTGGAGAGAGAGAAATGAAAGTGGAATGCCGCCAAAACAGAATTTAATTAATAAAATTTAAATAAATTTTTTAAATTAATGTGGAGCAAGTTGAGTTTAGGGGCTATGCTCGGATCATTTTGAAATTTTTACCGCAGGTAGGTATTTGTAACCTGATTACGGCAATGTAATTTTTTTGTGGGGGAAATACCCGGTTACCCGGTTATTCGACCCAAAAGTTCGAATACAACATCCGGTTTGTATCCGGTTCTACGTAACCGATATCAATAAAATCATTATCATTTGAAAGCTTATGAAAATACCTATCCAACAAGTGGTCATATGACGGGGTTGCTGGAACCGGTTTCGGAGAAATTTAGAAAAATTTGCATTTTTGTATGAGTACTTTTTGAAAAACCCATAAAAACTCGAAAATGGACCCATTATAGGGTCTTAAAATCTATACACTATATTATAGCTAACACTATTGCCTTTCCAAAATGGTGTCATATGTGTTGATATCTTTTGTGGTTCCGAAGATATAAGAGATAGAATTCATTAAATTATATTTTTCTCCAGTCTAGATGCATTTGACTTTGACCTTTATAGCTTTTTTAAGCAACCGTGGCCGTGGCTTAAGATTTTCTCCTCTAGGGTATGTCCAACACCGGCTACGCGATCCATAGTTTTTCTAAAAATTGTAATTTTTGTAAGTAGCCGGCCTTCGGCCGGGGCTTAAGATTTTCTCCTCTGGGGTATGTCCAACACCGGCTACGCGATCCATAGTTTTTCTAAAAATTGTAATTTTTGTAAGTAGCCGGCCTTCGGCCGGGGCTTAAGATTTTCTCCTCTGGGGTATGTCCAACACCGGCTACGCGATCAATAGTTTTCGAAAGTAGCCGGCCTTCGGCCGGGGCTTAAGATTTTCTCCTCTAGGGTATGTCCAACACCGGCTACGCGATCAATAGTTTCCTAAAAACTGTAGTTTTCGAAAGTAGCCGGCCTTCGGCCGGGGCTTAAGATTTTCTCCTCTGGGGTATGTCCAACACCGGCTACGCGATCCATAGTTTTTCTAAAAATTGTAATTTTTGTAAGTAGCCGGCCTTCGGCCGCGGCTTAAGATTTTCTCCTCTGGGATATGTCCAACACCGACTACGCGATCCATAATATTCTAACAACACCAAATTAAAAACAAAGCAGATTAACAAGAACGTTAAACCCGACACAAAACTTGGCTTCACTCAAACTGCTTTCATAAGTAACGAATTTAAAAGTCAATATCTTCGGAACTACAAAAGATATCAACACATATGACACCATTTTGGAAAGGCAATAGTGTTAGCTATAATATAGTGTATAGATTTTAAGACCCTATAATGGGTCCATTTTCGAGTTTTTATGGGTTTTTCAAAAATTACTCATACAAAAATGCACCTTTTCCTAAATTTCTCCGAAACCGGTTCCAGTTACCCCATATATGACCACTTGTTGGATAGGTATTTTCATAAGCTTTCAAATGATACCCATATTATTGATATCGGTTACGTAGAACCGGATATAAACCGGATGTTGTATCCGAACTTTTGGGTCGAATAACCGGGTAACCGGGTATTTCCCCCACAAAAAAATTATATTGCCGTAATCAGGTTACAAATACCTACCTGCGGTAAAAATTTCAGGTCAATCCAAGCATAGCCCCTAAACTCAACTTATGCCATTAATGTTTTTCCTTTTTATTCGACCTTTTTATATTTTAATGAAACATTAAATTTTTTAAATCTAAATTGTAAGCGATGTTTTTGTCTTATTCAGGATTGATATTCAAGGATTGTATGCGCGCAGATATTAATGATTGGGCAGATCACAGATTAAAATGCCACTTTTGAAAAAAATTTCTACCGAACAATTTTAGTGGAGTTATGTATTTGCAACTCATCAAATAGGGATATTTATTTTTGAAAGAAGCCCATTCATACCACATTTCCAATAAGTTTTTAACATAATCAGTGTTTATTTTATTTTTATTTATTATTTTTAAATTTTATTTTAATAATTGATTGAAAAAAGCGATCAAGAAGCATTGGTTAAATTGTCCATTTAGAATCGTATTTTCTAACTTTATGTTGCTCCACAGGCTTTTCTACATCCTAAACGTATATTCGATGCATAAAATAGTAAATATGTTTATTTAAATTGTTTGATTTTTATATCTAATGATTCACTTAACAACAAATAGGGTACACAAGATGCGAAAAAGTCCAATCAGCGTTGCCATCTTTGCAAATTATTTCTTGCCAATTTTTCATGATTGGAGAAATGATCCCTCAAGATCGATGTATTTCGTGGAAAAGCATATAAAAGAAAAGGTGAAATTGTCCGTTCAGGATCGTGTTTTCAAACTTCTATGTTGATCCACAAACATTCAACATTCTAAACTTATATTCGAATCAGCATTTTTATCTAAGTTCATTTATTAAAGAAAAAGGAAAAATAGTAGAGAAAGTCTTAAAGTCGGGCGGGCAATTTGTGAGAATTAAATCATATC